CATATTTGCATCTGTACATCTGTCCATAAGTAAAGAAAAAAAGGTTGTTTGCTCTGTACAAAAGGCGGAGACTAATAATCTAGATATCTGAATCTGGAATCTCGTTTGTTTTCAGAAGGCATAGGGAAAAGCTCTGAATCTGGGGTTCATCTGTGACGGAAGGGACTGCGACTGCGTGTACTGACGGTTGGCTTATTTGGCTTCACCCGAAAGGTGGCTATATGACAACCTAGAAGAAGACCACTAACGGTCGCAATGTCCAGTCCAGCAGCCGAGATACCTTGCACTTCCAGGATCCGATCGCTGACATGTATAAAATTACTCATCTGGGCGAAGTAGTCGGGAGAGTTGATCCTGCTGACATATAAACCGTGGGCATCTTTCGCAATGTAAAATCCGAATTGAATAGCAGTCGAGGTGCGTTTTAGCTGGAAGAGGTAGCTTTTGTCGGAGAAAGTTTTCAGTTGAACGCAAGTGACGGCGTCCTGGCTGGCGCTAACTTCATTTCTGTCCACGTTCGTAGAAAGCTTTGGTGAACAGAGAGTAGACTCTGAGGATCGTCGTTTCCAGCTCCGGGTTGTTGCAGAACTGAAGCTACTGACGAGGCTCTTATCTTGCCGATCCGCGCTCACCGCTCTTCGGATACTTCCGATACTCTTCTTTATAGAGGAAAGCACCTTAGCACCGCTGCTGCGTCTACAGTGCGATTTTCGGGGTGGTGGAGCTAAAGGAAAAATGAGAAATTTATAAGATATTGGCCAGAAGAATGGTTTCTACTCAGGAAAGGTACTCCAAATTCGGAAGGATCATTTGTTACCGTCACCTAATCATGCGCTGCTTCCAAAGCCTGATATTATCAGTCAGATCTCTGTTCGGTTAGGCTCCTTTATAAGCAACGCCGTAGTCTACCATAACAGAACCAACTTAACTAAAAATTAACCTATCACTAATAAAACTAAATTATGATCAAATAAACCAGCATGTAAACTAAACTTAATAGTAAACTGCAACGGTAACAAAAGGTATTTATATATGGCAAACTGTGGTGTTGTTTATAAGGAAATCTTACCCCGAGCCTTTGATCTTCAGCATAGGAAATGCTAAGTAACGTAGAAGTAGTTTTCTATCTTGACCCTAGCAACTATAATCCACAAATAACGTTGTCACTAATAACGCCTACATATAACAATACACAGGGTCAGAGGAAATTGAATTTACTCACAAGGAGAGGTTTGTGTTTGGGCTGTTCTCTGTGCAGGAGGCCAGGCATGCGTCGT